TCTGACGGGTTCTTTGATCCTGGTATCTTCTGCGGGGAAAGAGTTCCATCATTTATCAACTCTCGGATATGATGATACCTCAACTGGATATGCTTCGATCTTGCATGAAACGCTGGATTCTTGGCAAGATGAATTGCACTCTGGCTATCGCTGAAAAGCTCACAATTGTCCTGCTCTTTACCTAGCTCTTTAAGAAAATTCTTAAGCCAAATCATCTCTTTTCCAGCTTCTGAGATTGTCATATACTCTGCTTCAGTGGTAGATAGAGCAACACTTTTCTGAAGTCTGGACATCCAACTAATAGCAGTACCACCCAAGGTGAACACGTGGCCCGTGATACTTTTTCGATTATCCAGATCGCCGCCTAAATTTGCATCAGCAAAACCTTGTAAGATAATATTGCTCTTTTTAAAACAAAGTGCCATACCTGAGGTGCCTTTGAGATATCGCAATATCCACTTTACACCTTCCCCATGCTCCTTTCCTGGATCTGACATGTATCTACTCACAACTCCAACTACATGGGCTATGTCAGGTCTAGTGCAAACCATAGCATACNGTGCCTTTGAGATATCGCAATATCCATTTTACACCTTCCCAATGCTCCTTTCCTGGATCTGACATGTATCTACTGACAACTCCAACTGCATGGGCTATGTCAGGTCTAGTGCAAACCATAGCATACATCAAACTTCCTACTGCTGAAGCATATGGAACTTTGGACATGTACTTCCTTTCTTCATCTGTCTTAGGTGATTGGTCCTTTGACAGATTTAGATGGCTTCCGAGTGGAGTGCTTCTGGTCTTTGCATCATGAAGACTGAACCTGCTTAGTACCTTCTGTATGTACTTTTCTTGAGACAACTTTAAGGTTCCTTCCGACCTGTTTCTGCTAATCCTCATCCCAAGCATTTGCTTAGTTGGTCCTAAGTCTTTCATTTCAAACTCCTCCGCCAGTTGTTGCTTAACCAAATTGATCTTATTTATGCTAGATCCTGCAATTAGCATATTATCAACGTACCACAGTAAAATGATATAGGATTCATCAAAATTTTTGATATAACAGCAATGGTCCATCTTACATCATGTGAAACCATTTCTATGCATGAATCCATCAAATTTCTTGTATCATTGTCGAGGAGCTTGTTTCAAACCATACAAACTCTTCTTCAACTTACACACAAGGTTTTCTTTACCAAAAACTTGAAAAGCTTCAAGTTGTTTCATGTAGATGTCTTCTTCAAGGTCACCATGCAAGAAAGCAGTTTTAACATCTAGCTGCTCCAAATGCAAATTTTCTGCAGCTACGATACTTAGCACCAACCTGATAGTAGTTAATTTGACTATAGGAGAGAAGATCTCGGTGTAGTCAATTCCCTCCTTCTGCTGAAACCCTTTTACTACTAATTGTGCTTTGTATATCTTCTTACCATTATGCTAGTCCTTGACTTTGTACACCCACTTGTTTTGCAATGCCTTCTTTCCTTTTGGTAACTCCGTAAGTATCCATGTTTTATTCTTTTGAAGAGAACTCATCTTTTCTTTCATGGCTAGCTTCCACTTATCAAAGTCTATTACCTGCATTGCTTCAATAAAATGCTCTAGTTCTCCAGCATCAGTTAAAAGTAAATAGTGAAGAGAGAGAGTTAACCTATCTGGAGCATTCGTGACTCTTTTAGATCTCCTCAATGTAGGTTCATGAGTAACAGAATCCGAATTTGATTCAGGTTCTGATTCCAGATTTGGTTCTGTATTTGATTCTATCTCTGGTTCCGTTTCTGGTTCTGATCCAGGTTCGGCTTCTAGTTCTTCTTCAAATTCGACTTTTGGCTCTTCATTTTCAATTTCAGAATCAGTTATAATCCTTCTAGCCACTTCATTTTCTGAGATTTCTTCTAACTCAACTATTTCGGATATCTGTTTGCTGGTGCTGGTTGGTTCTACTTCAAGCTTGTCCTTGTACATCACATTTAATCGTGACATTCCTGTGTCTTAGGATCTTTCTATTCTGATCATCCCAAAACCGATAACCAAAATTATCATCACCATAGCCAATAAAGAAACATTTCTTGGCTTTAGGATCAAGCTTATCTCTATCATTAGAGTTTACATGCACATAAGCAACACAAACAAAAAAAATTAGATGTGAGAGAGTTACCTCCTTTCCTGTCCATACCTCCTCAAGAATTTCAAAATTCAGCGGTAAAGAGGGTCCCCTATTTATGAGGTAAGCTACCGTGTTAACAGCCTTGGCCCAAAATACTTCAGCAATCCAGAATGTATTCTCATACTTCTGGCTCGTTCATTCATGGTTATGTTCATCCTCTCAGCAATACCATTTTGTTCCGGTGTTCCAGGAACTGTCTTGATCATTCTGATCCCATTCTCCGAGCAAAATGCTTTGAACTCTTGGCTATCATACTCTCCTCTATTGTCAAACTTTAGACATTTTAGCTTTAGACTTGTCTGATTTTCAACTTCAACTTCCATCTTTTAAAGGTAACAAACATATCAGATTTATTTTTCAGAAAATAAACCCATACCTTTCTTGTGGAATCATCAATGAAGGTGACATAATAGCGTGACCCTCCTAGAGAAGTTACAAGAGCTAGTCCCCACACATCTGTATGCACTAGTTCCAGCTTCTCTTTCTTTGGCGTCCTTCCCACCTTTGAGAAACGAACTCTCTTTTGTTTCCCATAAATGCAATCTTCGCACAAACTTAATTCAATATGTTTTAGGTTTGGCAACCTTTTTTGGATACCAAAAGCTTCATTCCCTTCTCACTCATATGCCTGAGCCTCTAGTGCCACAATGTCGTATCACGACCATGATCAACTGTTGCTATAGTATCTCTTTGTATTGCAGTTGCATGCAGTGTTCCCCTTTTGAAGCCTCGTGCCACAACCAAATTCCCTTTGGTTATCTTCCACGATCCATTGTTGAATGTTGTTGTATATCCTTCACCGTCAATCTGACCCATAGATATCAAATTTTTCTTGAGGCCAGGAACATGTCATACATTTTGCAATTTCCATAGCGTGCCTTGTGAAGTCTTTATATGAACTTCACTTTTTCCGGCAATGTCGAGAGGTTCGCCGTCTGCTAAATAAACTTTCCCAAATTTTCCAGCAATATAATTATGCAATAATTCTTTGCATGATGTAGAGTGAAAGGATGCACCTGAGTCCAGAATCCAAGGTCCAACTGGACTGTCTGCATAAGAAATTAGTGCATCACCAACTTGTTCAGCAATTACATTTGCTGAATTTTCTTACTTCTTCTTCTTTGGTTCTCTACACTGGCTACTGTAGTGACTTTTATCGCAATTCCAACAAGTAATGTCCTTGCAATTTTGGATTGACCTTNGATTGTCCTCTTCTCCTTGACTTTGATCTGCCACGACCATAACTCTGTCCTCTTTGGTTGATTCTCCCCCTGCTTTCAGTACTAAAAGCAGATCCTGGGGAATCACTTGATTCTCTTCGGCGAATATCTTCACTTAGAACCAAGTCTCTAATATCATTCAATTTGAGTTTGGTACTTCCTGATGAACTGCTAACTGCAGTTACTGTTGCAGACCAACTCTCCGGTAGAGATGATAGTAGAATCAACGCCCTGATTTCATCATCAATTGTTATATTAACAGAACTCAACTAAGTTAATATTATATTAAACTCATTGATATGTTCCGTGACTGATCCACCTTCTGTCATCTTTAAGTTAAACAATCGATGCATCAAATAGACTTTATTTGAAGCAAATGGCTTCTCGTACATATTTGATAACGTCTTCATCAGGCCTGCAGTGGTCTTCTCGTTAATGATGTTAAACGCCACATTTCGTGTTAGCGTCAAACGAATCACACCAAGAGCTTGGCGATCTAATAGATCTCAATCCGCTTTGGCCATAGTCTCCAGTTTCACCTCGGTCAGAGGTAAGTGTAATTTTTTTTGGTACAAATATTCTCTATTTGTATTTTCCAGAATCCAAAATCTTTGCCATTGAACTTGTCAATCTTAACCTTCCCTTCTTCCGATGCCATTTTTCACAAAAAGAATTTATGTGAATAGTGCTTGTGATAGTAACGATGATCAATAGTGTCGCATTATTCTTGTGAATAGTACCTGCACCAATACTGTACTTTTTTACTAGAAATACACTGTCAGTGCTCTGATACCAGTTGTTAGGAAGCTTGTCAAGCTAATAGAAGGAAAAAAAAATATTTAAGAGAGAAAAACAATAAATTGCACAAGACAAGACAAGGCAAGATTTACGTGGTTCGACAATTTTTGTCTACTCCACGGCCACACAAAGAATAGCTCTTTCTTATTTGAAGAGAGAAAGAAGAAGTTTTGGGATGATCTACAAATAAAAATGTAGACCCCTATTTATAGGCATTTGAATGCCCTGCCGAGGTAAGCACTTACATCATAAGAATGCCGATGTAAGCACTTACATCATAAGAATGCCGAGGTTAGCGCTTACATCACAAGAATGTCGATGCAATAAGCGCTTACATCATATTTTCATCTCTTTTTGATTTTTCTTTCTTTTGTTTTGTCTATTTTCACATATAATAATAGGTTTGCTCCTATCAGAGGGGTCACTTGACCCAGCCGCAAAAAATTTTATATTTAAGTTTATATATGTTAAAAATAATCATATATTTTGCTTGGAAGCTTTAAGAACAAAAGTTGGATGGGGTAGTTTGCTTATGTGCCCCACCACTTTCAAAACCTAGTTCTGCCTATGCTTTCAGTCAATGTGATCTACGTCCGGCCTCCTTTTACACTAGATCAATTTTGTTTTTCTCGAGCACAAACAATATCACCAATGTGTGATTTTTTTTGGTTCGATCACCACCACTAAGCCATACTGGAGCCGTGTATGGTCCAATTATGTATATCACATGCTGCCAAGAAAGTAGCTTTTTTGACTTGTCTTATCCTCTTTGTCATGCTCCCTTAAATTAAACTATGTCCTTACGTTTTTAACAATACTAAGTTACTCTTTTGTTATATAATGCGAGTAGAACCAAGTTTTTCAGATAACAGCAATCTAGTAGAAATTAGCAGCAGCTACAGTCTTATATGGAATCATCAAGAATCACTCTCCGTCCATATAGATCATCAGATGTTGATGATCTACTATTATGGGGAGGAGATGATCGAGTAACCAAGTCAATCCATTTCACTACTTTGACTTCACAAGAAGATGCATTGACCTTCATTGAAAAATCTACCATTCCTTGGCGTCGATCCATATGCATCGATGACCGTTCGATTGGAATCGTGGTGGCGCGCCCTGGATCTGGTGATGACAGATGTCGAGCCGAGATAGGATATGCTTTGGCAGCTGAGTATTGGGGACAAGGGATCACTCCTAAGGCTGTGAAGATGGCAATCCCTCTGATTTTCAATGACTTTCCTGAAATAGTAAGGTTGCAAGCATTATCTGATGCTAACAATAAAGCATCCCATAGGGTGTTGGAGAAGGCTGGATTTGTTAAGGAGGGCATGTTCAGAAAATATTTTTACTTTAAAGGGGAAATTAAGGATGTTGTACTTTACAGTTTACTTTCCACTGATCCTATACCTTCAGATCCATAAAATTGCAAGATCATCTTCTTGAACCCCTTGTGGTCCGGCTTTTTCCAGAACTCTATGCATAACAGAAGCTTAATGCATCGGGCTGATCTTCTTGAGCCCCTTTCTTTTGTTCTCTTCATGAACAAGTCTGTTGTAATTTTTTCTTATTTTTTTTTATACAAGACTTTGAATAGTGTAATAGTGACTATAGGTGCCAATGAAAAAGAAAAGATGAAAATTAAATGGAAAGACCCCTATCAAATGTTATCTGTGATTATCTTGAAATGAAATTATTGTGTTGATGTGGTATTAATGTGATCTTCTCCTGTTGCATTGATTTATATTATTTTATTTTTTTTGAGAAACTGGAAATTTTATTTGAAGTATGCTAAATTTGTTCCATACTATTACATGCCACTGATGCCTCCTAAAGCATATTATGATTGACAAGCTCGACTAACTTCCTACGAGCATAGTGTACAACGAGCTTTAAAGAAGAGGCTCATCTTTGTCCGCCAGCATCCTGGTCTCAACAAGAGGAGGAGGAACTGCCAGATAGACTGGTTGATTCATGTTGAACTGGTTGATTGCTTTCCTAGCCAAAAAGTGCACCTATATGAATTAGTTTGGATCAACGATACCCTATACTATACGACCAGGAGCATATTTGCTCTCGTACATGTGAAATAGGGGGTATGGTAAAAGAGGGGGGTGGGGGAGTGGTGGGGTATGAAGAAAGATTTTTTTCCTTTTCCAAAACCAATCAACCCTTAGTTTCAAAGTATCACATCAAATATCTAAAAGCATAACCAGCCGAGTAAGGTGGATTAATAAGAATGAGGGTACTGGGTATTAACAATATATAGTTTTAAACATTAGATTACAAAATTAATTCTCGCAATAGTAAATATATCTTTTTAAGGTAAATAAATATTTATAAATACACTGTATACTTATTTTTAATACATCCAACCAAGCATCCAATAAAATATAATAATCAATACATTACACAATTTGCATTATGAATACATACATATTAATTTATTACTAATCCCTATGTTAACTTATCTCTAAACCAAAAGACAGAGACTCTAATGTTGAGCCACGTGAAAGAGACAGAATGCAGCGTCTAATAAGGACTTTGTAAAATACTTTTCATATAGAGATTCCTCTTGGGAGGCATCTTTTCTGTTTACTTCCTTTTTGCTCTTTATATGTAATAATATATCATCCAGAATAGGATATACATTCTCTATAAATATATAAAACACAAACTTTGCCACAAGTTGATAATATTCTGTGGAATTACAACCATAATGGCTCTTTTAATTACTACCAAGTTGCTGTTGAATTATGTCAAATTTCCATCCCACATCGGTGGGTTAAGGAGTTGGTGGGAAACTTTT